AATAGTTTTCAATGACATGAAATGATCAAGTAATATCATTTAGTCATTTGAAATCAGTTCATCAGTTGATGTAAACTGGTATCATGCCACACTGTCATTTGAAACTGTCAAAAAATTATTTCAGACATATTATCACTTGATATTATTTAAAAATGATAGGATATATTTACTACGGTAGTTATAATTATCATATTTCATTATAACAGAAAATATATTTAGAACATAATATAAAATGCTTATACTTTCATAATTTTTATGACATTTAATATTAGTTAATGGAAATGAAAGACTGACTATGAAATCATAATTGAATAATTATGATATTTTAATGAAACATGTTTAAATATTTTAAACATCAATTATTTTCTTTTGTGAAATACACAAAAAGATATTTATCAAATTTATAAAATAAATGTATAATAAGATGTATTTAAAAATTATAAATAAATCTGATTTATTAAACTAATTGACAAAAGCTGACATTTGCTTTACTCTTCAAAAAATAATCTCTTGTAATTTATATCGTTATTTTAGTTTTAGTGATCTCTTGAATGAAATTTAGTCATTAAGAAAATTTATTCATTAATTTTATCTGATTATTTCTGTTTAACTTCACCAAAAAAAATATCCCATTTATAAAAATTAATTACTTAAAATAAAAACTAATTTTGTGCTGAATGACTTTTCACAGCAGATCAGTTAAAAGTATATTAATTTAATTCAGCAGATTATGTACAGTAGCTAGTTCATTCTTATTAATTATTTTTGTGCATTATAACAGCTTTTAACAAAATCTAAGATATTTAAAAAAAACATTTAGTATCAGATCAATATCATCAAAATATTTCTAATTGAAATAAACATGTGCAACATGCGATAAATATCTGATCAATTAATAGTTCAGTTGTTAAATTAAATTTTGTCTTCAATCAGTAAAAAATTATTCTAGTTTAATCAATATAAAATTATAAAAATAATAATTATATTAATTGTTTATCAAAAGCATTTTAATGCTAAAAGTAATAAAATAATAGAAACAACTTTCATATTTTAAGAAGTAAACTAAACACCTAAAAAAAATTGAAGTTTATAAATTTTGATAATTAAAATTAATAACAGCTTTTTGAAGCTATGTTATTAATTTTAATTATCAAAGTTATTTCATAAAGAAAAAAATTGAATATTTGAATTTTGAATATTGAATATTACAAATTAAAAAATATATATATCTATTTCACATTATTTTTAAAAAATGATATATTCTAGGAAACATTTCTTAGATACATTGGTTTTTAAGAATAATAAAATATAATTCCTGGAGACTAACTCATTAACATGTTTAATTTGTAACTATACCTTTACAAAAAGAAAATTTACTTTTAGATTAACTAAAAGTAAATTATAAAAAGAATTATAAAAAGAAATCATTAAATATAAAATTAGACATATGTTTTTAAATAGTGAATATCATACTGAACTGGAAAAATAAACTACAAAAAAAATCAGCATCAAATTGAATAGCTAACAAATGAAATTTCTGTATTATTTTTTCATTTAATATCAAACATTTAAAAATTTTTCAATTCACATTCAAATATGAAAATACATATGAAATTTCAGTTGGTTTGTCATGCATCTATAAATGCATCTTTTTGCAAACATCTGCAATCCTGTTTTGATTACACAGCATAAGCATTATAAAACAAGATTGCAAGTATCTTCATAATCCCTTTCTTTATATTAGAATAGAATTAATTTGGATATGAATATACATTTAGTGGTATTTTTAGGATGAAGAATATTATGCACAATATAACTTATAAGTGAAATGAAATAAATGATTTTTGCAGAAATTTTAAAAGCACTTTAAAATAAAATTATAAATTATTAATTCCCAATGTATTTATCAGATCATTACTTATAATAATGTGAAAATGTTTCTGCAACCAATTATTCAGAAATAATTTCTATCATTTAGAAAAATAATAACTTTTTATATTTCAATACATAACATTTTTAATTATAGATGAATAAGGCCAAATGATTTGTCAGATTATAACTGGACAATCTGTCAGATTGTTTGGCTTTAATCAAAAATTGGGTTAATAGATATTTATATTTGTATAGATACATAATATAATAGATTTTAATAGAATTATAAGCAAGTATCTAATGATAATTAAAAATATATTTTATCATTCACACACAATTAAAAAAGTATAAGAAGATAGTTTAATATTGTAATATTTTTGTGCAAAAAATATTTTGTACAGAATTATTTGATATGCTTTAGTTTACATACAATAGCAAGAATAAAGTCCTTAATTCTTCTTTTGAAACAAAACATACAGGATTAACTATTTAAAATTCAATTTAATCTTATTTACTGACAAAATATTATATTTTTTAAAATAAATTTAATTAATAATTTACTGAATAGAACTGAAAATTTATTTAATTAATAACTATGTTTAGTAAGAACTATTTTAGGCTGATTATTTTGATGATTGTAATCAACAAAACTAAGTTTTTAAATGAAAGTTTAAAATAATGTTATGAAAAAAGTTTAAAAAAAATTTCTAATACATATGAATTTTCAATGACTTTGTTGTTAAATTCTTTATTAAAATATTTATTAGTTACAAAATAAAATATTTAAAATTTATTCTATTTGCACATTAAAATATATATTTTAAGAATTTGATTAATACACTACAGTATCTTTTTATAAAAGTTTTAAATAAAAGTTAAGTCTTTTTTTGATGTTTCCACAAATTTTATTTCTAAAAAATATTTTTATTTATTTATTACTTAAATGGAAAATGTAAAAATTTTAATGAATCTTTATCATCAAAATAAGCAAAGTTTAAAGTTTATTTGAAACATAATATAACATGTTATGTAAATTTTTCTTTGATATAATTGTTATTCATGGATTAATTCTGTTGACAGATATTAACATATTCATTCATATTTTCAAAAGTTATAAATCAGTTTAGCATCTTTATGTAATTGTCTTATTAAACTTTTTTGTATAATTTCTTAAATACAGAAAACATTTCAAGAAGGAATAGTTATTTTCAAGTTTGGAGACATAACAAAATGTACACAAAAAAATTTATAATTCATTTTTCAAATTTTTCAATTTCAAATTAAAAAAAAATAAAACTATGAAGCATCTTATAAAATATAAAATTTAATGAATTCTTAAGCATTTTCTTTATATTACACATTATTATTCAAGGAATACCTTTTTTTTGACAATAAATTTGGACAGTTTATTTCACAAATTTCAGAACAACCATATGATTATGTAAAGAAGTTAACATTTGTTATAAAAAAAATAATGCACTATATTAACTTGGAAAAATTTATATTTATTAGGTTTCTAGTTTTTTATATTTTGAAAATGTGCTGTTCTAAAATATTTATTATTTAAAAAATAAAACTACAGTTTTTCTAAAACTTTATTTTCCAATTAATGGGAATAATATGATATATTACTGCAGTTGGCCAATCTTTGTATTTGGCTTTTTAATAATAATAAATGTTTCAAAAAGTTTAGCTAAGTTATAAATTAATTTAACTTCTTTATGTAGTTGTTTTGTTGTTCTGAATTTTATTTTTTGATTTAAACATTCCAATAAACTAAAATACATTTGAATTATATGTTCATGAAACTTTCAGTTTTAATAGTTTATTTTGCGAATTAATTTAAAATTTACAATGTAAGTAAGGAGAAAATTAATAAAAAATTATGAATAGTTTATTTTTTGATTCTGTAATTCAATTTTTAAAATTTAAAAGTTTTATATTTGAGTTAGTATTGCCAATTTTTCAAATTGTTTAATTTTAAATATAAGTGTCCTCTAAAGAAAAATGTATAGTATAATCAAAATGTTGTTAAATAATTTTTTAAATTTTAAATATAAAATTCTTCATAGAATAATATGCTTAGGAACTGGAGCATATTAATTATCAAATTAAAGTTTTGTAATTTTATTACACTAAATTATTATTATAAAATGTTTTATTTAAAAAAATATATCCTTTTTACTTATTAAATTCAAAAAGACATTTTAAAACCAGGATATTATCATTGTATTATTGTGTATATTCAAATTTTCATATAAATCTTTATTTAGGTGCTATTTATTTATGAAATGGAAATTCAACAAAAATACAACCATACTTATAAAAGTTATACAAATTAAATTTTAATCATCAAATTGAATTATTTAACTATAAATATTAGTTTAGCAATTTTTTGACATTAGTTTCTTCTTTAAAATTAAAAGTTCTAAGTTTTGATTTTCTAATTTCATGTTTTAATAGGATTTTATAATAGTTTATTCTCAAATATTAAATTGTATGGCTTGTGTAGATTCTATTTTATTAAAGTTGTAATTTATGTGTCATTTTGATTATATGTTAAAGTGGCTGTAAAGTTTTCAATTGTTTTATTTCTATTTTAGAACATTATACAGAATTATTTAGAACTAGCACGGTTGTTACTATATTACTTCTTTCATTACTAGAAAGAAGAAATGCAATTTAGTTTAAATATCAAGCTTGAAGTACAAAAATCTCTTTATTAATACTGCTTATTAAAGTATAAATTAAATTTTTGCAGTGGGCAACTTTAGAGCATGCAAATCAGATATGAAGAGTTATAATGCTTGGCAGGTACATGGCACTTGCAAGAAAGGCACATACAATTGCTTCCATTGTTAAACTAATTCTTGCTCAAAACATTTTATAAAGATTTTTTTCCTATGCAAAATATGAAAAAAACAACCTGATGATAAAATATCAATTTAATTAATTATAAGTGATTTTCATTACTAGTGTTGTGAATGATCCAAAAATAATATAAATAGGTAAGTTGAATACTATTATATCACTATAAAAAATAAATATAATGATATATATTTCTCCATATGATGAACATAATTAAACAAATTGAAGTAAAATGAAATAAATTAATATTTTAACCAAGTTATAAATTTTTATTTTAAAAATGATAAATAAGTAAAAAATTCTTTAAAACAAAATATTATGCAATGGAAAAATGTGAGTTTCATTTTATATATACTTCACAACAGCTTCTAAAATCCACATTAGATCAATGGAAGAACAGTTTGAGAAATGTATATTAAATGTGCTTGGAGTAGTCAATTGACTTGAAGATAATGTAGAATTATCTTTGGCAAGAATAAGCAATTTTTTAGAATTTTAGTTTTGATTTCTTTTCTAATTGAGGATAATTGTCTTACCCTCAGTAACTCAGGCTCGATAAAAAAAAAAAAAAAAAAGATAGCAACCAGACTATTTTTCCACATGCTAACATAGCCAATTTCATTGGCTATGTTATGTATCCACAAATCTAATGTGGACTCTAAAAGTTGTCACAAACTACAGATTTAATCTATTATATAATGAACATTCATATTAGAATTAAGTCAACATAATGAAACTTTATTCCAATATATGTTGTATGTAATAAATTTCTATTTGTTTTATTTTTATTGTAGCATAAATTCTGAAAATTTTTGTAAGCATATAGATTTCAATATGGACTTGTGATTACTATATATTTTTAGTAATCTTGCAAAATATCATTAGTGAACTTTGAAAAGCAATACTTTTAATTGAGCAGATTTCATTGTAAAGAATAAGCGATGCCAATGCTATTCTAATAGTCATGATGATCTGAAAATACCCATAAAAGGATATCGAGAGCGCCTTGGTGAAGGTGGTGGAGTTTGGTTATTGTTAGAAGTTGTAGATAATATATTGAAACGTGACCTTGCAGGAGAAGGAGGTGGTTGAGGTGTTTGATTATGTAACTGCTGTGAAGGATTATTCACAGGAGAAGATGGTGAATGTGGGGAACGAGATCGTATTGGTGAGGAAGAGGTACGTGGAGGCCGAGAGTAATTAGATGATGAAGTATGTAAAGATCGAGATCGCACAGGAGAAGGTGGGGTTGGAGGAGAATGAGAGATTAATGATGATGAGTGCACAAGTGCTCTATTACGAACAGGAGATGCTGGCGCTTGTGGCAGCTGTGAATACGTAGGAGAAGTAGATGGTTGTGGAGATCTAGAACGCACAGGAGAGGACGGAGAATGTGGAGATCTAGATCTTGCTGAACGTCGAGGAGAAGGTGGTGGTTGTAAACTACGACGGCATATACAAGCTTCTCTTGGACGTGGTGAATTATGATAATTAATTAAAACTTTTTGGCATTCAATTTCATCATCATCAAAATTTAAATCTGGATAATTATCTTTCATTCTTCGTCTTTCCTTTATTTTTTATAAAGTTTGAATTATTTGATACTGAATTTATAATATATTAATTTAATAAACTTTAATAATTGTTTACTTATGAATTCAGGAATAGATAAAATAGTAAATAAATCATTTAATTTTTCAACAGTTTAGCTTTAATATAGTAGATGCTATCTAAAATATTTTTATTTATATAACTTAGAGTACAAACATTGAATCATATTTGTTATTACATGTTTTAATAAATACAAAAATGAAATAAATAACTTAAACTACTTACCTGTTCTTTCATTGTTAGTAACATAAGTTACTTTTTCAAAACACTTAAAAAAAATAATTTTTAATTAAGTATGAAATGTTTTAATTAATTATATGCTATAATCTATGAAAAAACACTACTTTAAGAAAAATAAAAATACAAAAGCTCTTCTTACTTTTAGTAAATTTTATATAATAGAATTAATTTGAGAAATAAATCTGGAAACAGCATATAAAATTGCTTCTATAAAGAATAGTGAATTTAAGGAATGAAATGTGAAATTCTATTTTAAATAGTATAAAAATTTCATATCTGATGAAAATGCAGCTTTCAATTTTATTTTTTCTTTTAGATTAGTAACTATTCATCTTGTTGCAAATCTTTAGAATTCTTTAAGACCTAGGAAAGTTTCAGGAATTTAATGTTCAGTCTTATAAAAAGCTTAATATATCAATAAAATATTTAAAGAATAAAAATGTTTGACTTCTAGAAAAAGGACATTCAGATTTCTTGTTAATGTGTGGAACCTAAATGTAAGAATATATGTTAGACTATATTTTAAACAAATGTAAAAAATGAAAACTTGATATGTAGTCCAAGAAGTTGTAAACAAAAATCAATTGTACAGATTATGTCATTAATAGCGATCTTCCATATGATTATTAATATAGAGGGCAATACTAATTTATGAAATAACTGATAAAGTAGAACAGTTTTGAAAAAAAAAAAAAAATTAATGTTAAATGCAAATTGGAAAATACAAAAATACCTGAATTATAACCAACTGAGAAAGGATATATGACCCAAAATGTACTTACATATTGGTTTAATAAAATCTCAGTGAGCTTTCCAATTGAGAACTGTGGTGTGATAAGTCCTTAAAATTATAGCAAATTACATATAGCTATTAAGATGATTTATTAAACCAATATAAAGTTCTATTGGTACTTTTAATATGTACAAAAGTGATCAAATTAAATGAAATTAATGTTGATTTACTGATTAAATACCCTTGAAAATTTAAATTCAAACAAAAACATCTGAGATGTAAAAAAAATTATGACAATTTGGATGACAGCCAAATTTTTTTCTTAGGAGTTTTTCTTTGGTAAAGAGAAACTTAACAAAACTTGTGGGTGCCATTTCAAAACACCAAGCTTATCTTAACCAAAGAAAAACTCCTAAGAAAAAAATTTGGCTGTCATCCAAATTGTCATAATTTTTTACTTTGCATAAATTTTTTTACTAAAATGTTTTTGTTTGGATATCAATTGTTTTTTGATTAATGACTATGTCATTACATCAAGACCTAAGACGAAAATGTAGTTTGGTTGGCACTCAGTCATAGCCTACAACGAAATGCATTCAATATGCCACCTAGTAAAATCATTATAAAAAGTTTTATTGTAATTTGAATAAATTTGAACTTTTGTTATTCTGGATAACATTTTGGATAAAAATCATTCATTTTAATGTAATTTTATCCTTATAAGCATAAAATTAAGTAATAAAAGTAACATAGCTCTGTGGGAAACCCCTGTGAACTTTCACCTATCAACCTGGAAGTTTTGTGAGCATCTTACTGATAACAAGTGTCTTAAATTTAAAATTTGAGCATTCTGGACCCAATAATTTTTTCTCTAGGAATGTCTGTAGTGCTAGATGAAGAAGAAAATACAGCTTTTTTTTGGCAATTTTTGCACTTTTTGATTGCTTGTAATTCAGCAACCTTTTTATAGAAAAACCTGAAATTTTGCACATTACCTAAGAAAACAATTATCTTCCAAATGAGATATTCAGAATTACTCCCTATTGGTGGCCACTTAAGTGAAGTGGCCCAAGATAAGAGCATCAAAAAATGAATTTATCCTTGTTTAAGTGGTCAACAGAACAAGAAAATCCTGCATTCCTAAACTCAATGTATTGTTTAAAGAACTTTAAACAAATTGACTGCATTCATCAGACTCAACAGTTGTAACTGGGCATAAATTGGTAGCTGTTAAATAGCAACCTGGATCTGCTGAACGATGAGTGATGTTGCGTTGGAACAAAAAGCTTCATTGGTTAGTTTCAGGTAGCAATAGATAGTGTAAATGAAAGATGCTACCAAATGTGACGTCAAAACACCAAACATGTTCTGAAAGAGCACTACTGTAAAGGGCGTTCAGCAGAAAAATACCCAACAGCTCCAGAACTGTTGAGTCTGCTGAACACAGCCATTGAGCTTTGTTTCTACAGTTTTGAAACAGTTTATTGAGATTTCTGACAAATGATCAAATAAAATAAATCTTCATTTATGTTCAAGAAATTAAATTTATCTCTAGAATTTTACAAGAAAAACAATTATATATTTGTTTATTATTTTTATCAAAATCTGATTGTATTTTGTAAAAATATAACTATGTAAATACAGTGATGATTGATCTATATATATATACTAGCAGATGAGCCCAGTATTGCTCGGACAAAAAGTAACGATAGCAAAGATTAAGATTATTAGATTATAGCTGATCTTACCCATTTTCGCCAAGTGCAAGAATTAGGTCCCTTCTTCTGAGACTAATTAGAGATTTTTTAGATATCTGCTTACCACACTGGGATAACAATAAATAAGACTCACTGCAACCACTAACCAGTGCATAGTACCACTAAGTGATAATAAACATTTTTGTAACTCTTTCTGGGTTTTTCTGAAGAAAAACCCAGAAAGAGTTACAAAAATGTTATATCTGTGACGAGCTTTTCCATCCCCTTGTCATGGAATGTTGCCGCTAGTGAATTGAGATGGCCTTAACAATGTTGTTTTGAAGATTGTCATTAGTTCATTAGTCTCAAACCTCTACCCTGCTAGCCACATTTTCAGTTCAGGAAAGAGTTGGAAGTCTTCACACATTAAAAAGTATTAAGCTGGGTGGAAGTCTTCACCACCTTTAAACATCCAGCGTATAGCCCCGATTTAGCACCAAGCGACTTCCACCTCTTTCCTGAACAGGAAAAGTGGCTAGGAGGGCACAGGTTTGAGACTAATGACAATCTTCATAACAACGTTAGGACCCATCTCAAGTCATTAGTGACAACATTCTATGACAAAGGGGTTGAAAAGCTCATCCATTGATATGAAAAATGCCTGAATCTTCACAGTGATTATGTCAAAAAGTAACCATGTTTGTACCTAACTTTTGGTAATAAATTCATTTTGTTATTTACAATTATCTTTTTTTTATGGACCATCAGAGCTTGAAAAAAGAAAAAAAACAGCCTACGTACATTATTTTGTATAAAAGTTTCAATTACTGTATACTGCAAATTATGTACAGTATTTCATTTATTTATTTATAATATTGCTTTTTGTTTGTTTACTTTATAAACTATATTAAATTTTTAGCAAGATTCAGTACAGCACTAATTACTATTCTGTATAACAATTTTTTCATCACTTAACTTAGGTGACTACCTCACTTATGTGACCTGAAATAGTATACCCCAAAGGTATACTATTTCATAATATTACATAAGTGAATTTTACTGTATTTAAAATACAAAATGTCTTCTTTTGTTTTAATTTAGCATCTACTATATTAAAATATTTTATTTGAACTAATTACAGATAATTAACAAACAACTACATTTATTAATTTATTATTAAAAAAAAATTTACCTCAGTTAACCTGTAACTTTCAAATTGATTTAGCTGCTTTTGAAAACCTACATTAGGATTAGCTATTTCTCTTGCATTTCGAACAACTTTCAATGCATCACGACTGTTTAAACTAGTAATTGACATAATGTATGCAACAACAATTGTAACACTTCGAGATACTCCAGCAAGACTGAAACAAAATAATTTCAGTATAAATAATGCATATTCTTTAATCTCAAATAATTTTGTAATATTATAATATAATTTAAACTGCAATAAAATAGAATCAAATAGATCTTACATCTATACTTATCTTTCATTGTAATCTATGAACTACAATATAATTTAAAACAAACTACTTGCTGTTATATACCTAGTTCCATTTAAATAAATATTTGTTTAATGTGCAATTATAATGACACTTTTAAAGATAAAATGTACATTTTATACATAATTATATCTTTTCCCATAATATTCTCTTTTGCTGTATACTGTATGTGAAATTTTTTATATTACATATAAGAAAATATTTTAAAAATTTAAGAAAATTATTGAACAGCTGATTACTTATATAACATTTTAATTTCAAAAACTTTTTAAAAAGCTTCAATTTAAATTATATTTGTTTCAGAACTATTACACATGAGGGTATGACATTTTTTTTTCAATGTGGGGTATCATTTTGATACTAGGATATGTTGCCTATCTCTTTTCAACAATTGTTCTGTATTAAATAACATTATAACATTTTTTTAAAGTTTTTATTTGTAAATATTTATTGAGATACATATTTCTCCATTTTCAAATACTAAATAGCAGCCTACAAGATTATTTTGAGGTTCAAAAATCTTGAAANTAAATGCAAAGAAAATTTGGAATTTAATTAAAAAAATGTGTACAAATTCTAATTTAACTTTATTTAAAGTTAAATTAGAATTTGTTTAAATTAATGTACAAAAACTAGAAATTGATAAATTTTGCATTCTCTACTAATACAGGGTGGGGCAGAAAGGACAGACATTTTTTAAAAAATCACATCTGTAATTGTTACTATAAAAAGATATTTGTTGAAAGCATTTTACAGAATCAAGTGTGATAAACAACATCTTCCACATGGTGTCCGTTATCAGTGATGCATTTCTGGAGGCAATTTTGGAGACTTTCATGTGAATAGCTTCCTTCAGTTCTTGATAAGAATGGACTTTATGCTCATATACACGTGCCTCAAGGTGTCCCCACAAGAAATAATCACACATGGATAGGTTGGGTGAACAAGGAGGCCAATGAATGTCACCAAACCTGGAAATGAGGTGACGAGAGAAGAGACGATGAATAACATCAATTGATGCTCTAGCTGTGTTGGCTGTCACTCCATCCTGTTGAAACAACACATGTCTGATGGGAATACGTTTCCATTGTACACAAAAATGTGGAAATGTATCCCCATCAAATGTGTACGACTGAGCAATCTCCTTTGCGTGAACACAAACAGATGGTGATCTATCATCCACAGCTCCATGCCTTCAACTGAAAAGATAATGCTAAGACCTCACTACCTGCCACACATCTGTCACTTCACCTGGTGGTGAGTTGTAGCCATTTCAAAACCATCCGTCCTTTTTGCCCCACCCTGTATATAAACAGAAAAGCTAAAATTTCTTTTCTTGTCTATACTTGACCCGTCTGTTGTAGAAAAAGTCTTTGTTTAGAAAAACTGAGCATATTAATGTTGCTGTAAATAAAGTGTCATATGACATGAAATGATGTGTAAGAAGAAATTTTCATTTTTGTATTAAATAATGTAATGTTTATAACTTTCATAATGCTATTGTTAGGTAATCACATTGTTTTTTTAATTTCTGGAATGTCACATACAAAAATTCAAAATTAATTTTCTTCATACATGCCTGCACGTGCTTAAGTCTATTCACCTAATAATTTTTGTGACAGTAATTCTTCTCAGTATTGAAATGTATTATTATTTTTTTTTACCAGAAACATTGTCAATGGATTCAAACTTTTATATAAAAAATAAATCAAAATTATATCATATCACTACTAAAACAAAATTGAATAAAAACATAAATTATTGTAATAATCTTCAAATTTGAACAAATTAATTAAGGTGATTAACTTTTTTATTCAGGTCTCCTAAAATGAAATACAGTGGGTGATCGGTTAACAAACATAATCCGTTCCGAGACTTTGTTCGCTATCCGAATTGTTCGTTAACCGATTATCGATTTACCATAGGTTTTAATGGGAATTTAATTAATTCGTTCTGGAGACCCCCAAAAATAAAAATTATATACTTTCTTACCATGTTTATTTATATGTAATAATAAAAATATATACATACACAGTCTTGCGTTTTTATTAGTCACGTTTTTTCTGTTTGAAAAGGTTAAAGAATCTGTCTAATGTCGATTGCTTTTCTCTTTTCTTCAGGATTTTTCGTAAGTAATTAATAGCATTGCAACTGTAGAAATCCCCAAGCCTCAACCTGGTTTAGATGCCATTCAAAGACTGTTGCTCTGACATCCTCCCACTTCTTCAAAGGATCTTTAATAACAGATATCGGCATTAATCCTCTTTTTCAGAAGAAAACATATCTCGCCGAGTTTCTTGGTGTTCTTCATTCAAGAGTTCTTGGCGTTCTTCTGTCGTCAGATCCGTTTCAGGTTCCATTATGAACTCTTCGATGTTCTTTATTTCTCAGATGTGATTTTTGTTACTCCTTTAGCTGCTTGAGTCTTCTTGATTATACAGTATTTTTCTTAAATAAGATTGAACTGCAGCCTACTGTAGCAACAAATTGTACATACTGCCCAGCAACATTAGGCATCTTCTGCCCACTTTTTACCTTTGCTGTTATACTCTCACCTTTTGAAAAAAAAAAAAAAAAACTTAACGAGTGCCCACCCGACAGTCTCGCGAATACATAAAAGAATTGTTTTGTCAGAAAAATAAAAGGCTGGAATTACAAGGGAGAGTTTCAAAGTTCAGAGGAAAACTATCTGATCAGTATATACAGGCTTGAGCATCGATGTCGATGCCTCCCATACTCCAAAAAGTTTCGAATTGTTGCCTGAAGACAAGGGAAGACCAATCGGTATTCATTATTTTACGTCGCTTCTTCTTGTGTTTGTTCTGTGGGGTGTTCGTTATCCGATCGTGTGTTCGTTGTCCAAACATAAAAATCTTTTGCGAAGGTGTTCGTTACCCGATTTGTTCGTTATCCGATCTGTTCGTTAACCGATCACCTACTGTATTAATCTTCATCTTATTAAAAGAAGCAAGAGAGACTATCTGACAGTTTGTGAAAGTTACTAACATTGATTCTTTATAAATGAGATGTAATTAACTGAAATTTTTGAGTAATTATAAAAGAGAATTCTGTCAACTGAGTGAAAAAGTTCAGCTGCTGGATGCTTTGCATGTTATGACTGGTTGTTGCTGTTCTCTAATTTAAGGACAGAAATTTTTGAATTGAAATTATTTCCTTTGGTTATTATTTAGAATTGATAGTAGGTAAATTCTCTGTAGTCTGGTTGCTTTGTATTTTATTTGTTGTGGAAATTATTGATGGTGGTGTTTTTTTCACTATAAATTTGTGAAATATATATCTGCAATTTGGGAGAATCTTATCTGACAATTTGTGAAAGTTATTAACATTGGTTCTTTATTTTTGGTTCTGTAATCAGTTGCTTATTCCTATTATTTAAATATTTTGGATAGTTCTCCCCAAGTTAATTTTCAGTAATTTATGTTTTGTATATATTATATTATTTTGATTGTATCAGCATTCATGTTGTTATAATGGGGTTGTATAATAGATTTGTTGTAATTTTCTCTTCATATCAGAGTATATTAATGAATAAATAATAAAATAAGCATAAAAGAAAATTACAATCAGTAAGGATCATAAATAAATAATTTCATTTAAGAAATTCATAAAACTTAAATTTTAAAAGAAAATTCATTGCTATTTGAAATGAGCTAACATTTTTAAAATCAATAATTTATTATGATTTATCATGATGATACCAGATGAGTCTTGATATAATTTATCTCTATTAATAGTATATGAGAATCTTAATAATTTTTAGACTTTTTAATAGATTATGAATAAACTTTACAAAAATAAAATTTCAAGCAATTATTTTGAAAGTTTTTTCTAGCTTTCCACTTTAGAAAGTTCTTAATCTCTAACAAGATTAAGAACTTCCTATCCTTTCATAATGAACATCAAAATAAGAGCTAGGCAAATGTCAAAGGAACATGATCTGTTTATAAAGAGTGGGAAAAATAAGAGTAATTTTTAGAACAATTATTTGTTTCATTTCTCTGTAATTGAAAAATTATTATACTTACCAATGAATGAGAACTTTCCCTCCTTTTAAACGTGCATTATGTATAAAGTCATTGCACTGAGAAAAGAATTGAGTGAGATTCTGTCCAGGAGAATCAGATGCCTGGATACATAAATATTCCATATCCTTTTAAATGAAAAATTAAATAATTAATTATTTTTGATTCAAATATAATTTTTGAAAAGCACACATTTTTGCATTCTATTTCATTTTAATAAGTTACATAATTACTGGCATCAAAACAAATATTAAATATAGACAGTATTAGAAGATACAATAATAACCAGTAGATAATTTATACAATACAGTAGAGTGTCGTTTATCTAAAACGTCAGTTATCCGAAAGAATTCCAGTTGGCAAATTTAAATTTTCGCTGGTGCTGTGGTGCTGCAAGTTTTGGCTATATCTTGGGCTACTCCAACATTTTTTTGTTGATGTGTGTGTTTTAGCTGGCAGCACTGGCACTCTTGTGCATTGTTTTTTCTGAGGACTGTGTGTTGTGCTGAATCAAACGTTTTTGATACTAGTTTGATACTAGTTTTAACTTCTAAAGTATAATTTTTTTTGCTTTTATATTTTTCAATATATTTATTTTGTTTGTAAAGAATAAAGAAATAATTTTTAACAATACAATATCCACGATTATTATTTTAAAAAGTTTACATTAGGCTTAACATCAACAAAAATTCAACGCAAAGCGACACACAACGGAGAAAAATTTTAACATGGGATAAATTAATATATTTTTTTGTACATAATTGGTTATCCAAAAAATAAGTTATCCAAACAACCCCAGTCCCCAATTGATTCGGATAAACGATGCTCTACTGTATATTACTAAAAGCTGTACAATATTAAATAACAATAATGGTTTGCTGAAAGTAAAATTTGTTTCAATGCTGAATAATATTGTATACAGTAGAACTCTGATTATCCAAATTAATTTGTTCTGCAGGTGATTTGGATATTCAAAAATTCAGATAAGTAGATTAATATGTAAAGAATGAAATTACAGGGTGATAACACAGTATTGAACATGTACTGTATTTATTTATTCATCAATGTGCAAGTAGCATTCTAATTATCATTTGGATCTGATAGCCTTAATCACTCGACACGGGTGAGTGACAGAGATAATCAATCTGGTTAAAAATAATCCGGAAAAATCCAATATTTCGATTCAATTTATTTCAGGTTTATTTTTTTGATAAAAAAAGCTCCTTAAATGTGATATCCAGTTGATTTCTTTTTAATTAAGTTGATTTCTTCCTACTTTCATTTTCTGACAATGCCTGGTTTGTGTCCTCATTGTTCTACAACTGTTTATTTTAATGAACAGAAGATTGCAATTGGAAAAACTTGGCATATTTGATGCTTTTGTTGTGCAAACAAGCAATGCAATCGACGTCTTGACAGCAGTAATTTGACTGAACATGAAGGAGAAATTTATTGTCGCTCCTGCTATGGAAAACTCTTTGGACCCAAAGGATATGGTTATGGTGGAGGTGCTGGCATTTTGTCTATGGATACAGGAGATGGTTACAAGCATGGTCCTCCAATTTGTAATATTCCAGCTACAGCACAAGCTCATATTGCTCCATTATATGCACTTCCTGAATCTAAAATTTCAATAAAGACAGGGTGGAAAAATAAGGATGTCTGTCCTCGTTGTGGAAAAGCTGTTTATATGGCAGAGAAAATGATGGGTGGTGGAGCAGCATGGCACAAATCAACTTGTTTCAATTGCAAAGAATGTCATAAAAGATTAGAATCAACAACTCTTTGTGAAAGAGAAGGTGAAATATATTGTAAAACCTGTTATGGAAAGATGCTTGGACCAAAAGGATATGGCTATGGCCAAGGAGCAGGAACACTGCAAATGTCATAAGATATAATATTTTTCAATTTTGCCTATTTGCTAATTTTGAATAATTCTAATTCCATACAGTGCCATTTTTTTGTATTATTTAAGATGTCTCAGGTAATTATGGGACCAATTAACATTTTTTATTATTATTGGCAGCTAAAACTTAGAGTAAGAAATTTATATATTTGTGAAACTTGATTTATGAAAGTTCTTTTATGAATTCAGTAAAACTCATGAATTTAAAGAAAATAAAACTAAGAAATGTTAACTAACTGTAGAAAGTATTCATTAAATATTTATAAACTATGTGTTAAGGAAAAAATTTTTATTTGTATAAGGGAGCAAGTTTTATTTTGTAATAAGAGAATACAATTATTTATTTTACTAAATAGAATCTATGTAAATGAATAATATTTTAGTATATTATGTATTAGCAATTGAATCAATAAAGTTTATAAATTAATATAAAGCTTAACAGAGTTTGAAAATTTATGTACAATAATAATCTGAATTTCTGTTGCGAAATTTCAGTCAATTGTTCACGTTAACATGTATCAACAGATGGCGCCAATTTATTTGCTTACTCTTAAACTTCAGCATGGGTTTTACAAACGATAACTGAATACAAAATGTCATATTTATTATCATTTTTCTTCTTTTTTTGGCATTTTTTTTTCTTTTCCTGCCAAGTGGTCGTCATCCGGAACCAATGTATGTTCAGTGTTGTGTAAAAGTGAAGATTGTGTTTCTTTCACGCACCATAAACTAACTGGAAAATGCTATGCGTTCGTGTTTTACAATGGGACGTAAAGGGATTGTTTCACAATATCAAATTCCTTCGCCAAAAATTTAAAATAAATCAGTGATAGCAAAAAAATAAATCAGGAGGGTATTTTCCAAATTCGTTGCTTCTAGTCACGTGCCTAGAAAAAGTTTGCGAAAAAATGAAAGTATTCCTAAGGGCAATTTTTTAGAAAGATTGACAGAGGTTACGAGAGAATGTCAAGATACTTTAACACGCAAAAGTGATAAATTCTTTAGTAAACACGAGACATAAAAAAAATTCATTGTGAAGCTTAATAATTATTAAGTTAAAAAATGCATAATCATCGTGTAATGTCTAAAATCAGTAGGGGGAGTTAAGTAATGCCGGGGAACTTTTTAGCTCATCATAGCTAGACGATATACGCCCCACGTCTGTTTATGGCGAACTTTTGTAGCAATTAGACTTCCAATTAGCAAGAGGGGCGTGCTTTTAATTAGAGGAACAATCTAGTGAAGTTCCCACAGGACGTTGAGTTTCACTGTAACATTGCACTAATTACTCCTAGCAGTTTTTGTCGAACCGGGGATGAAGTAAGGGGATAGGAAAGAGCGAGAGATTGACTAATTAGTTCTAGAAATCTGAATGGTCGAAGAGTCCAGTTGGAGAGTAATTGGGTCTGACTGAAAGTTAATGATATAAAAGCTAAGAGGACAGTTGAAGATTGGGTTGATAATAATAATAATAATAAAAAATTTTATCCTAATTAATACATAAGAAGAATAAATCGTATATTGTTTAGTTTTCACCCACCAAATGATTACTATATTTTAACGTGTTACTATTGTTTTAGTATCTAATTAACGAACAAGAACTAACAGTTACATCTTAATAAACGTATAGCATCCATTATTTCATTGGACATTTTTTATGTATTTAGCCATTAACAATCTTGAGTTTTTTTCTATTGCTTTCGTCGTCAGAAAGAGATGAATTAGTGAATTGTATCGTTATAAACATAAAAGCTCATTTACATAAAACATTAATTACTTACACCGCATGATTGTGAAGCTATTTTTAAAAATTCTATAGAATAATTAATCCAATATAATATCTTCTATCGAATAAATTCTGTAGCGTGATAAGCTAAAATTGAGGTCGACAATATAGCCCATCAGGAATCGAAAGCCTCGCGGATAAATCCAATGCAATGATTCATACGTTATAATTCATTCTTATACATATGTTCAGCTAAAAAGCCATTTGGATGATCCTCCACACACAAAAAGTGTTTTGGTAATGGTGAATTGGTTACAGTTGATTTATTTTATCGCTTCGTTCTAGCAAAAATAAATTTTTCTAAATTATTTTAACAATTACGATGATGATGATCTTACTTTTTTTAGTTTAACAACTTATAAAATGTTTTATACATGCGCTTGATTATAAAACATTGTTCAAAAATAATAGAAAATATTTAAAAAATTTTAATTAAATACATTTTTAAATATTTTAATATCTTATTATTATTGAATAAATAAATAAATTAGAAATAGGGTTTTAAAAATGGTTAAATTGCTATAAATTATTTAGTTGCGCTAAATAGCAGCAAATTATTTAGTACATGCCAAATATACAGGTTTTTTTCTCCTTGGTTTTTTGTCATTTTATTTTGTAAAATAGTTATCAAATTACTAATTATATGTTTTAATAACAGTTAATAATTTAAGGATATAAAAAAATTAAGTTTGACGTGATAACTATATTTGGGTCATCTCTTCAAACTGGTTTCATACTATAAAAAAAGAATATGTTATAAAATGAGTTATAAAGCTTCGATCTGCGTTGTGAAAGGCACTTATGAGCTTACAAAATAACTTTTAAATTATAAAAATATTTAAGGATAGCATTTTTTTTATTGAAATTTGGTTTAAGATGATAATNATGTCTCAGGTAATTATGGGACCAATTAACATTTTTTATTATTATTGGCAGCTAAAACTTAGAGTAAGAAATTTATATATTTGTGAAACTTGATTTATGAAAGTTCTTTTATGAATTCAGTAAAACTCATGAATTTATTTAAAGAAAACAAAACTAGGAAATGTTAACTAACTATAGAAAGTATTGATTAAATATTTATAAACTACTTGTTAAGGAAAAAATTTTTATTTTGTATAAGGGAGCAAGTTTTATTTTGTAATAAGAGAATACAATTATTTATTTTACTAAATAGAATCTATGTAAATGAATAATATTTGAGTATATTATGTATTAGCAATTGAATCAATAAAGTTTATAAATTAATATTAAAAAAAAATTATCATTTGGATCTGTCACAGCAAATAGATGCATGATGAAAAAGAACTGCAGTGTGATGACAGTGGGGAAGAGAAAGTAGAGCAAATGGTGGTTTGGATAATTCTATTGTATTATAATTAATGTCATTATTTTTTCATTTAAAAACAAAAATAAGAAAATTTGCTTTAAAAATAAACATTTATTATGCTAAGAAGTGAATTTTATACAATTCTTATGTGTATGTTTACATGTATATAAGCTAACAACAGTTTGCATTTTGAATTATTACTTTGATATAGATTTGGCATTCATGCAACTGTTTCATATATGAAATAAAGGATTGTATATTTTCATAATACATGTATCCAAAAAATTAGTTATACAGTAAATATAGGGTAATAGATTAAAAACATTCAGCATGTAAACTGAGGTGCCAAAAAGTTAGAGACAGTAGCACATGCAATGTTCTTACCTTCTACCCACAGGAAATGCTTTGAGCTGGAACATTTGTGTTTGATACCATAAGTGCAATACTTATCAGTTATAAATGAGCTTGGTTAGAGCAGCAATGGGCCATGTGGTTTTATTGCCATTTGTTCATGGACAGATTGTTGGAACAAAAAAACTGGGTCACTATCAGCAAGGTGGCCAGTGCTCTTGGATTTTCTTGTGCAACAGTTTCAAGGGTTTACCAGGAATACTTCAATTCCAGACAGACATCAGCAGCACATTTACAGTGGGGTTGCCTATAACTGATGCAAGAGTATGACTGCCGGTGGCTAACCAGGTTAGTAACCATACAATGAAGGGCAACTCAGCACTAAATTACATTAGACTTCAACAGGGATACTGCAGAACCCATCAGTCAACACACTTTACTGTACAACATACACTGCATTCCTTGGAGTTTGGAAGTCACCAACCCAATCTGGTATCACTACTAACAACCAAGCATCAGGCAATGAACTTCACCTGGGCCAAAATTGGAAGTGAATGGCTGGCACAGTGTTATGTTATGTAGTCAGATGAATCTCACTTCAGCTCTTTTAAGCTGATAGTCATGTTTGTGTGTGACAACAACTACAGTACATGAAGCCATGAATCCAACGTGTCAGCAAGGTGGTGTGCAAGCTGGTGGTGGCTCTATCCCGGTTTGGAGTATGTTCTATTGGTGTAAATGCACTCCAACTAATGGTGAGATTGCAGTTGACTTTGACAGGTGTAATGTGTACTAATCCTGTGATAGATGTTTTGCACCTCTTTATACTTGCTATGTTCCCTTGATAGTAATGGTTTGTGTAAAGTAGTAACCTTTTAGCACAGCGGGGACAAAGGGGGTACGGCTTTGTTAATTGTACCCACCTGCAGTGAGACGGTAGTACAATTGCCATATTGTAAACGAACGAACGTAAACAAGTGGCGGACGTTTGTGTGAGCTTCACTCTCGTCGGATGACGGCGGACCCGAGTGTAAGCTGTTCGGGCAAAGAAAAGGGATTGTGATTGGTCGGAAGTCCCCGTCCAAAAACCCTTAAATTGCGGGCCGAACGAGAGGAAAGGAGAGAAGGGCAAGAGACTGGTACACGGTAGTCTCAGGCACTTGGGAAGCCCGCTGAGCGTAAAGAGAGAGTGTTCTCCTCTGTTAATCTTCTCAGGGACGGGTTAGTGCTGAGACCGGACCGACCGTGCAGTTGAGCCGACTCCGAAAGCTGACTGAGGTCTCTCCCAAGAGTATTAGTTTCCAGACGCCAATCTGGCACGTGAATTCACCACGCATGATCTTCCTGTACATATGCTACGTTTATAACTTGTACAACTGTAAATAAACTATATATATATTCAATTTGAGTGTGGAGGTGTACTTTCCGACGAACCTGATTCACTACATCGAGTCGTGATATACAAGAAACCAACTCAACGAGGCGGAGTTGGAAAGGAACATTTTTCAATAAGATCTTCACTGGCGCAGTCGGCAGGATAGTCTTGCAACTCTTCAGGAGATTCCCGCAAGAAGACAGGGAAGTACTGAGCCCACATTCAAGGACTAAAGAAAACAGCGCAGGACACTTACGAAAGGAAGAACAGCCGGAAATCAAGGCAGAACACAGCTATTGGTAAGTTGTTCTTAATTATTCGTATTCAGAATGCCGGGACGCGGAAGGACTCAAGGGTCAAAAAAGGGCATGTCGTGTTCCGAGGATCTGGGAGATCGGACTGGTTTTAGTCAATCCCAGGAAATGGATACGGAGTCGGAAAGGGAAATCTTAGAGGGTGAGGTCATGGAAAACCGGAATAAAATAGAGAGACAGATAGAGTCAGACGATGTAGAGAAGTTACGCCTACAAATTAGGCTAGCTGAAATAGAATCTAAAAACAAGGAAATGGACGTCAGAAAAAGTGAAATTGAAATGGACGTCAGAAAAAGTGAAATGGACGTTAGAAAAAGTGAAATTGAAATGGAAATTAGAAAAAGTGAAATAGAATTAGAAAGAGATCGGTTACGAAATGACTCTAGGGCTAGTAATAACTCTGAGCTAGGGGGTAACTTGGATAGTCTAGCTAGGAAAATCAGATGGGCTTTACCCAAAATGCCGGACAAGGAGGCGGAAGTGCCTTCATGGTTCCGTGCTGTGGAAGTTGTATTGCAAACATACGACGTACCGGAAGAGCTTCAGGGACAGTTAGTTTTAACAGTATTATCAGAGAAATGCAAAACAGCTTTAAGTAGACTCACGGCAAATGAAATCAGAGACTACGAAACTTTAAAACAATTCGTGCTGGACGAATTAAAGTTGTCTGCTGCAGAGTATCTTAAGGAGTTCACTTCCTCCGAAAAGGGAAGTAGGGAAACATGGCCCCAATTCGCGGCTAGGATGGAAGACCTTTATCGGTATTATTTGAATAGTAGAGGTGTAGATTCCTTCGAAAGATTGATGAAGCTAGTTGTTTCGGATCATCTTAAGACTAAGCTAGATGCCGACACTAGGCGTTACGTTCTATTGCAAGAGGGTAAAGGTTGGTTCCCGCCGGGAGAGATAGCTAGGTATGCCGAAAAGCATGCGGAAGCAGTTGGAAATGGGGAGTTCAGGTGTAAATCCGAAAGAGATAAAAGAACAGCCTTTGGAACTGGGGGTGTGAGTGCGAACCATGGAGAGCCGGAGAGGAGGGAATCAAAAATGAAATGTTATATTTGTGATCAGACGGGACATTTCAAACGGGATTGCCCTCAGAGACGTGTTAAGGATGAAATTCTGAGGTCTAGAGCAGCGCGAGTGGTAACAACGTTAGACGAAACGGACAAGTCTGATGACAAGTTAGTAGCTAGGGTAAGAATCGGAAAGGATACGATTAGTGGAAACTTACCCGCTAGCGTAAACGAGAACCTCCTGCTTAGTTATCAAGGTCGAAAATTTTCTGCAATAGTAGACACTGGGGTAGAAATAACGGTGATGAAAAAGGCTTTGATACCCGATTACATATCCCGTACAGGGGGTAAGACGAAGTTAGTCGGCGCGTTCGGACAGCAGGTATCCGCAACGTTAGTAACCGTACCTATAAGCTTAAAAGGGTGGTTGGGCAGAAAGAGAAATTATTATGATACAGTAGAAATAACCTGCGCTTTGACCGACGAGCTTAGCTGCGCTATGGATGCGTTATTTTCGGCAGCCGATTATTGCGCTTTAAAGGAAGCTAAGCGGACGGGAAGAAATAAACGAAAAAAACGTAACAAGAAGGTCATAGGTGAAAGGGTTAACAAAGGGGATAGTCCAAACCCTAAGGTGGATAAACGGGGTAATAAAAAAAAATATTGCAGGGCATGTAGTAGTCGTCAGGTACTCACTCCCTTCCAGCAAAATGACCGTACACTTCATAGTGCGAAATTGGCACGTTGGGCATCAGAGTCACGGAAATACAATGTCAAGATCAGACGCAGAAAAAGGAAAAAGCGTACTAATACTGACGCCCTATACAGACCGGAAGTCAGGGACAATTCGGAATCTCCAGATCAGGCGAACTAGGCATATTAGATTTCGTGTTAAGTCCTTCGGATAGATATAAGTGATATCTACAAGGCGATTCTGAATATAGATTAATGGAACAATTTGTCAATGATAGTATTGTACTGTAAATATGTGTCTGCTAGATATTAAGAACCTATAACTGTAAATAATTTGTTAGTATACAATAATATCTATAGTAATCTGCCCCTTGTATTAGAAAAAGGGGAAATGTATTGTAAGAACTGATTTGTGTAACGATAATTATGGTGCGTGGTGATGGTATATGTTTAGGTCAAACAGGCTTTTGTTAAAGCGCAGTTTGAACCTTGTCGGTGGGAGATGTAAAGTAGTAACCTTTTAGCACAGCGGGGACAAAGGGGGTACGGCTTTGTTAATTGGACCCACCTGCAGTGAGACGGTAGTACAATTGCCATATTGTAAACGAACGAACGTAAACAAGTGGCGGACGTTTGTGTNATTTGTAATATCAACATGGGGGACGTACGTTTGAGTTTTGAAGAACGTAAGCAGGTTATTAAGTGGTACTGGAAGTTTGAAAATGTAAATGAAGTTCAAAGACAGTGGAGAAGGGAGTATGATACAGAACCACCTTCAAGATTAACAATTACACGCATACGAGACAAATTCGAAGTTCATGGAACAGTGTGTGATGTGCATAAAGGTCATTCAGGTCGGCCTCGAACAGCTACAAGTGATGAGTCATCAACGGCAGTCTTGGAACTGTTTCAACGCTCTCCTAACAAATCTTCAAGGCAAGGGGCATGTGAAAGTGATGTAAGTGCTAGCAGCGTGCTACGCATTCTGAAGAGAGGCAAGTATCGTGTTTACATTCCAAGGCTGGTGCAACAGCTAAATGACGACGATCCAGATCGAAGGTTGCAATTTTGTGAATGGATTCAGGAGATGGTGATACGTAAACCGGGATTTATGGGTAGCATCATTTGGTCGGATGAAGCCCAATTCAAACTTAATGGAACTGTCAATAGGCACAATTGTGTTTACTGGTGTGAAGAAAATCCTCACATTACAATTGAAAAAGCTGTAAATTTGCCTGGTGTAAATGTGTGGTGCGGTTTGTCTTCAAGGGGACTCATTGGACCTTTTCGATTTGAAGGCACTGTAACTGGTATTAATTACCTAACAATGCTTGCTGATTCCATATTTCCTGCCATTCGTGCATTATACGATAATGATGATTTTTATTTTCAACAAGATGGTGCTCCGCCGCACTATCACAGGGACGTACGAGCTTACCTGGATCAAAATTTGCCGGGCCAGTGGATAGGACGCAGGGGGCCAATCGAGTTTCCACCACGCTCTCCAGACCTTACACCACTGGATTTCTTCTTGTGGGGCACAGTAAAAGATGAGGTGTACAAACGTAAACCACGTAACCTAGACATTCTTTGGAATGAGATTCAAGCAGTGTGTAGAGAAATCTCATTGGACGTTTTGATACGATGTACAGAATCTGTGGTGACTCGTACTCAGAATTGTATTGATGCTGCAGGTCACCAATTTGAACAGTATTAACATTTGTTATTTATGTTTCATTTACATTGGACTTTCAGCTTTCTATTTTCCTGAAATTTAACTTTGTAGAACGGTAAATAAATTTTCTATGGAAGTTCAAAGTGTGTATACATTTTTTTGAAGCACCCTGTATATATTCAATTTGAGTGTGGAGGTGTACTTTCCGACGAACCTGATTCACTACATCGAGACGTGATATACAAGAAACCAACTCAACGAGGCGGAGTTGAGAAGGAACATTTGTCAATAAGATCTTCACTCCATGCTTCTTACCTCTTCCAATCTAGGGATCCAAATATAACCAACATTGTGAAGGGAGCTATGGAGGGAGTCGTAAGGAAACGCATTGACAGGCATCCCACCGTAGAAGACCTGTGCAGTTACCTCGACGGCTCAATGGAGGACGTCTTTGGGCTCCCCAGTAAAGACATCACATCGACCTGGACCAGGCTAAGAATGGCCACTAGACGCTTGAAAAAACATCTGGCCATCAACTGGGTGGTAGGGCCCGACAACCTCCCAACAATATCGGCCGATAGCAACATACTCCGAGCACAGAACTGCCAACGTACTCTCAGTAGCCTTCTCAACCTTCACCATCTCAAACAGCTCACAGCGAAACCTGATCAAGGCAAGGCCTTCAGTGTCACCGCAGCCAGTGAAATGAGTAACCACTTCATCAATAATGGGAACTTTACTCGCTTCGCTGACTGGTTCTTCATACATCGTGCAAGGCTGAGTGTCGTGGCCCTTCACGGCCACAAACGTTTTGGTAATGAAATTAAACGCTGTAAACGTTGCGGATATGCCCGTGAAACTTTGGTACACGTACTCTGCCATTGCCCCCCTAACTTTCACATTATTACCCGAAGACATAATGCCATGCTACAATGCATCACCAGAGCCTTCCAACCCAAAGATGCCACAGTACTTATAAATCAACGTGTCCCGGGGTTCGACGAGAACTGCCAGCCGGACTTAGTGGTGATTCACGAACCATCCAAATCGGCCACTATAGTCAACGTCACTGTACCTTTTGAAAATGGCCCAACAGCGTTCCAGGCAGCCCGTGACGAAAAATTAAGGAAATACAACTCGCTAGTCCAACATTTCCGTCAAAAAGGCTACAACACCCACATTAATGCCTTTATTGTGGGTGCATTAGGCAGTTATGACCATTCTAATGACGCAACCCTGCATCGTCTGGGCATCAGCAGAAGATACACAAAACTAATGAAGCGGCTGATAGTCAGCGATATGATCAGATGGAGTTGTGACATTTATAGGCGACATCTTGGACTCCAGCCACAACAGTAACTTTCTCATCTCGTGCCAAATATGTATACTTCTACTCAGCTGGCATACGTGCCCATGTCCGCGCTTCCCGCATATATATATGTACTCATTCCTAGCTGGCATACGAGCCCATGTCCGCGGCTTTTGTATCTCTATACTTGTACTTACATTAACTTTTGGCTGGCATACGTGCCCATGTGCAAGATACCTCTACTACCCTCTCATATGGGTATTTTTATTGTATCAACTTTGCCTATTATTTTTTCCTGTATATAATTCTGATTCTTAATAAAGGCTTTTTAAATCTGTTCTTATCTCGGCTGTGTTGGCAGAGAAAATCGAGTAGTCTTTGTTTCGCTGTTACAAGCTTATTTGTGCCTCAATTGGATTAATTCATTGATAATTATCAATCGGAAGTGTTGTGGATTACTGTTTCGTCAAGAATTTGTAAAAAATTTGAAATTAATTTTCGTGTCTTAACAAAAAGTGGAGTTGGAGTGCCTGCACTATTGCTGGAAAATACAGACAGTTGGAAGATTAAAAAAATTATAGACTAGGTCGACTGTAGAATATCTAAACTTTAAAGTTATTTAAAATAAAGTGAGAAGTTTCTTTATTTTGTGTTAAATAAGTGAGAAACACTTCAACAGCTCCCGTGGGGGGCATGTCACGGAAAGATAGACTTTCTGAAGACTTGTGTTGACTTTTATTATAGTTTATATGGGCTTAATTGCCCTTATAAGTTATTATAAGTATTCTACAGAATCTATTCGACAAGATTGTGAAATTTTAGTTGTATTCTTTGATAATTTACCTAACCAACAAGTGTTGGCTGTTGGCCAGTCGGCTAGTCAAATTCTGCCGAGATGGATCGGGTTTTTGTTCCTGTTCCGGTCCCTGGATTAGGGGAAGATAGTCCGAGACCACTAATCGACTTAGAAGTGGCTGGTGATATTCAGAAGTTCATGGGAGTCACCTTCAAAGGAAGCTTGGTGAGTGGATTATCACCGCCAACCTTGCCCGAGATGGAGGTGAATAATGAAAAGGAGGCTTCTGAAAATGTAAAAAAGTATGAAGCAGTTAGGTCAGTTCGATTAGTAATAAAAGAGAAAGTAATAGTGGCAGAATTAGTAGAAGAAATTACCAAGAAATTAGGAAGTGATAGAATAGTAGAACAAGTGTGCTTTCGGCCAAATAGCATAGTGGAGGTGGGACTGGACTCTGTTAAAACAAAAGAAAGATTGATGGGAGACCAGCCACAAAGACCTGTGCCACTACTTGACGGCTCCATGGAGGGGGACCTAGGGAACCCATCCAAGGATATTACATCAATGTGGACCCACCTAAGGATGGCAACCAGGAGGCTGAAAAAACGCATCAACATCAGCTGGACCATGGGACCAAACAACACTCCATCATTGGCGCTAGGTGACAACATCATTCGAGTCAAAAGATGCCAAAGTTTCTCGTAGGCCTAATGAGAGACCACCACCTGTGAAAGCTCCTGGCCAAACCAGATCAAGGGAAAGTGTTCAAGATCACCGCCACCAATGAAGTGAGCAACCACTTCCTAAACAACAGACGCTTTACCCGCTTCTAGGACTGGAGATTCATCCATCGAGCAAGACTAAGTGTTGTAGCCCTACGAAGACATAAGCGCTTCGGCAATGAGTCCAAAACCTGCCGACGCTGCGGCTTCGCCCGCAAAACGCTGTCGCACGTCTTGTGCCACTGTCCCCCAAATTTTAGGCTTATCACACAGAGGTACAATGCAGTCCTAAATAGAATCGTCTCTGCGTTCCAGCCTAGAGGAGCAACGGTCCATGTAAATCAACATGTTCCTGGCTTCGAAGAAAACTGCCGCCCAGACCTAACAGTGATACACGAAGAATCGAAGACGGCCACGATTATCGACGTTACTACACCATTCGAGAATGGCCAACCTACATTTGACGCCACTAGAAAAAAAAAGGAAAGAAAATATAACAACCTTGTCCAGCACTTCCGAACCAAAGGGTATGATACACGCTTTAGTACCTTTATCATAGGCGCCCTAGGAGGTTATGATCCCCTTAATGAAGCGACACTACAAAGTCTGGGAATTAGCCGCCGCTACTCTGGACTAATGAAGAAATTAATGGTAAGTGACGTCATCAAAATTAGCAACAATATCTACCGGCAACACTTAAGGGGATGCCCTCAACATCAACATCAGCCGTCACCTGCAAACAACAACTCTCAACAAGTCAACAGCGTCCACCACTAATTGGACTTTCCTCTCCATTATTCCAACGCATCTTTATGTAACGCATAAACCGGCTGGCATCTTGTGCCCATGTATTACTCTACTCTACCAATGTATATACCATTTCTAAACACTAGCAGGCAAACTTGTGCCCATGGTCGCAATCCCATCTGGTTGGCAATCATATGCCCATGTCGCAACAATTTCGAATTTCTCTATGTTCATATTCTCGCACTACTTAATTGTTTAACATACCTAAGTATTTTTGTAATATATTTTTGTTTTTATAATAAAGGCTTTTTAAATCTGTTCTTATCAGCTTGATTGTTCTGCAATAGCTGTCTCCACCCTCGTCAAGATGACCGACC